AGGACCTGGGTTTACTTGGAGGGTGATGCAGAAGGATGGGGATGTTCAGTGTGTACCTCAAGGGGATTTAACTTGGGGAGAGAATAGCCAGTGGACTAAATCATATGATGTTAACTGATAAATTACCCTGCCAATGTATGGCATCATTGCTGCTGTTGTTATGTGTCGTGTCTATTGATATTACAGTAAGAACGACCCAGACTAATAAAGGATAGACTATGATGAAAACAAGGGAAGAACAGCAATAAGGGAACCTGAGGTGGCACCCAGTGACTTCCCTAAGACAACATCTTCAAGCTTCAGACCATGGGCACAGGCCATGCCAAATACGGCGCGAGTTCTGGATGAAGCATATAACAATCAAGCACCATTCTCTCCTACCCTAAAGAACTGTTACAATGATCCTTGAAGCCATGGCCTGCATGAATTCAAGGGATACACTGGAGGGGGGTGTGTGTGCATAGATTAAGAGAATGGTATCTGTGTATATGTGCATGTGTACATATATATATATATACACACACACATATATATTAAAAAAAAAACCAAGAAAGCTGGTTATCACAGAGCCACAGAATGTTAGGGGTTGGAAAGGACCTAAATGTGAAGTGTAAGAGCTGAGCATGACGTAGATGGTATAGAATAAGGGGTGGATAATGTACTGGGTTCAGCTAGGATAGGGTTAATTTTCACTGGAGGCTGGGAGCTGGGCATAGCCTGGGTAGCTGAACTAAACTGGCCACTAGCCAAGGGGATATTGGATACCATCATGACGTCATGCTTGGCTATATAGAGGGAGCTGCTCGGAGCGGGGCGGGGGTATCTCTCTCGTTCTCTCTCTTTCCACCTCTCAGTCTGAGAGCTCGCTTCACTGGCTTCCGGGTGGTGAGAAATCCACCTTACATATTACTCGCGTAATATCTGGTTAAACACTACTGTTATTTTGCTGTTCTTGTTATCATTTGTTTCATCAGTAGGACAAACTGGTTTTATCTCAATCCCAGGAGGCTCTGCCTGCGGCTCCTTCCGGGCTCCCCTCCTCACTCCCGGTAGCAGGGTGCGAGTGAGGGAGCCACCGTGTGTTTCCTTTCTCCTTCCCTGCCGATCAGTCAGTACGACAGTCATTACGACAGCAATGTACTTGATGCTGCTGGTCAAAGCTGTGGTGCCTCTATGAAAAACAGATTCTTAGTGCATTTTCAAATGGGATTTCAGTGGAAAGGGATCTCTAAAACCCTTATAGTGTAATTCTTCCAGAAGTCTCCAACTATTCTGCATAAAGCAGAAGCTCTGTGTTCCCTACTTAGCTGTATTTATCATTTATGAACCATGCATATACTGACTTACGTATTTTTTTACTAATCTTCTTTAAAGCCTATGTAACTTTAAAGCATCAGTGCATAAAAATACTGATGTACTTTCTATTAAAAACATCATTTTTTTCCATGCAAAACTGCAGGTTCCAAGACACTGTTGGCTTTGGGCTGCTTTGCAAGTTTATCGTTTGGACTTCTTTCATGAGTCATGGTACATGTAGTAAATATGGTTATGGTTTTGACTGCAGATACAAGATCACCAACCTGGGAATATGACAGCCTTCACCCAAGACTAAAATTGTCTGATGACTGTCTTGTAGTAAGCTGTAACTGGAAGAGGATATTTTAAACTTGTGGTCCCCAAAGATTCAATAAATTATGGCAAATGCTAAGCAGGGATGCATTCTTCTCTGGAACTATTACTTGGAAGTTGACGTGCTTTATGCTGGAGCAGGATGGTGGACTGGTGCAGCCTACCCTTTCATTGGCAGGAAAGGAGACTTTGAAACCTGTCAGCTGAGTGGAATAGAGCGTCTTGGTGCCTTAAGAAATTTGATTTTGAATATTGGGCGTTTCACAAGGGGAAGAGAATCCGCATCCTAATAGATGACAATCCTGATTGCATTGGCATTTCTCTGATCATGAAGCAAGAATCCTTTCATTCTACAATGTTACTGATGGTGTGGCTCATTTGCACACTTTCCACTGCAAGTTCACAGAACCAGTTTACCCAGCCCTGAGGCTCTGAGAATATGCAAACCAACATAAGGAATGAAGCAAAATAAACCTCCTGTTTTATACCTTTGCTATGAAAGCCACATTAGCAGTGATACACATGAATTAGTCTCTTTTATATAAAATTTCTAACTGCGATGCTTTTAACAGGTAACAGTTAAGTTCAGAAAACTGATTTTACATTTATATGTATTTTTCAATGGGGGAAGGGGATCTGGCTTTTATAAATGATGTCTATGTACCACATGAAGTGCCATATATACTACTTTTTATCCTTTTTTCAACTTGCAAAATGGAAAGAACCACATTACAACTCATACTTGAACCTGCATATCAGTATTTTTTTAATGAACTCTCTCTCTTCATCTGCCTGCAAAGGCTGCAGTTGTGTATGGTAATAGATTTAGTTTCAGGCTTGATGTTCATATCTTGCACATAGTTACTGTTGACAAGGTCAGATTTGGATAATAAATGCAGTAAGTGAATTAATTAGCTCATACTTAAATTATCACCTTGAAATAATCAAAGACTGGCACCGATTGTTGGAAAGGTCCCTTCATGTAAAGGTGAAATAGGGGCTTCTGTAGTTGCATTATATAGCCATTTGCCGATGTTACTTGTGACAGAGATTCTGAGAGCTTCTGGGTGGCCCTATTCTTCTTGCACAGAGTGGAAGCACAAAAAGCAGTTGTGTACCAACTCCAATAGAAGATGAAATGCCTGTAGAACGCACAGGTTTAATAAAACCAGTAGGTCATTACGGGATTTGTGCCTAATTTCTTTTTCTGTCCTATTTGCAAAGGCTCTTGAACTGCAGCTGGATAAAGGTATGCTCACATAAAACTAGGAGAGACAGTTTGCAAGCATCTGTATAGGGATATTCTCCCCCCAAACACAAATAATTAAACTTCTGGAAATATTTGGTGCCTATGTTTACAGCAGCTTCTAGGGCCAGCCTTGCTGAAGTGAAGGGGCCCACTGCTACTTGCGGGTCAGATACTCTTGTGTGTTCAAATATGAAAGGTCTTAAAATCATCACCAGTGCTGGCAAAGGCAAGGTATGACCATAGGCTGAAATGCAGAAACAATCCCTTGTTTTATAAGCTGAATTTACTTTTAAAATTTGAAATTTAAAAAAAACATCTTTCAAAAATTGAGTATTTTTTTAATGTAAGGCAAGCATACTGCATCAGTCAGAGTTCATGTATGGTCAAACACATCAATCAAAGCATCTCTGCTTCCCAGTTTAAAGATACAAACGTAATTTCCTCAGAACTACAGAAGGGTAAACATTTTGAAAGTAAACAGCTCACAGGCACCGAAACACTACCACAAAATTCAAGATACTTTACTGACTCATGACTAAGAAGTAGTAAGTTCCAAATAATCATTACTAGCACATGATTCCACCACAGAAAAAGTGCAGTTCTGTGCCGGCCAGGCTAATTGAGGGATGCCTAGTTTGCAGCTGCTGCCATATGGCTCTTTCCTGTACAACGGGAAGAGCAGCAGGCTGACAGGGACCAGGCTGATAGGGAGTGGTGTTTCTTACTTGAAAACGAGACACTGTGATGTAAAAGCAGAGCACATGAGGAATACTTGACTATCATGCTGAAGCACAGTGATATGATCTAGTCAAGCAGCTAGTCTCAGCTGTCTCAAACACCAGTTCAGGGGAAAAAAACCCAGCCCGATGTATTTGTTTGTTGGTACAGGCTACTGAATTTTCATTAGCATTTCGCTTCCCAACTGAGAAGTTGCCCCCAGATACAAATAGAGGTATCTAAATGTACTGAAGAACTAATAGAACATTCTAGGTTTCAATTAGCTCACAACAGATGCTTCTGACATTTTCTGGAATCGCAGGTTTATTTCCACTGATCCATCTCAGATCTACTTTTTTGCCCTTAATCAGTGTGGCTTGCCCTCTCGCCTGTCAGTTCCTCAAAAGTACAAAAAGGCTCTTCTTCTGGCCCCTTAAATGGGACCTTCCTACATATTCAATTTCCTTCCTTTCTTGGTACTGGCTCTTAAGAACCAGGCTTTCTCAAGGAACTAATTTTGCCCAAAGTGCAGATCATACTGCAACCCACTGCAGGTTGTGAGTGTAGTTTTTTGTTCAGTGTATGTAAAATGTCACTTATCTGCATTCAACTCCAACTAACATCCTGTTATCATGAGGGTGAGGAAAACAGCAGAAAGCAGACGAACATCACAAGATACAGGGCGAGAACAATTAAAAGGGTAGACAAAATTATTGTGATTTTACTGTACTCTTACCAAAAAGGGAAACTGAAAAGCAGCAGTGTGGTCTTAGATTTGGCAAAATTCCAAATTAACCTAGGTTAAATGGAATGGAAAATGGAGGAGCATGCTACTTTCTAGACACAATGCTATACAGTTTCTAATAAAATTGTTCTTCATAACTTATATCCACTTGCTTCAGAAACTTCCTGCAAATGAGAACCTGAAAATTCTAACCTGCCTGGATCCTTATAACTACACCTCTTTATTCTAATCTACCATGCTGCTATACTTAAGTATGTTGTGCAGTATTATATCATGAAGCGTAGAATGGAGTGCTTTATTTTAGCACTTAACTTTTTTAACATGATTTTCCACTGCTTGCTCAGTAATGGTTTCATCTTCTTCGATACTTTTTTTAACCTTCTGGCCCACCAGATCAAAGATGGCTTCTGGAGGAAATCCCTTAGGCTCTCCCACCTTCACCGTCAGCATGTCAAGTGTCAGTACTGCACCTTCAGGAATTGGCACTTTTGCGACAACAGACTTCCCCAGCTACAGGGCAGAAATAAATTAAAAAAAACGTCAAACACATTCCTAGACTTAGTATACAAAAAAGGCTAAGAAAATATTTTGCAGTTAGTTGGGAACAAGTTGTGTGGAACTGTCCTCCCCCTTACTTCTTATTCCAAAGGAAGGCTGAGTTAGCATGGAAAGCTTCTGTAACTAGGCTGCTAGGAATATCAAGACACTTTCTGAAATTAGACAATGGGCTCACAGGAATTTTTCAGAATCGGAATGGAACTGATTAGACTGACTAGTATTCTAGCTTATTATAAAAGCAGTGCATTGAGTTTGGGGCCCCTCACTCCAAGACAGACACTGAGGTGCTGGAGCACTTACAAAAAAGAACAACAAAGCTGGTGAAGGGTCTAGAACAAAAGTCTTACGAGGAGCTGAGGAAATTCGGGTTGTTTAGCCTGGAGAAAAGGAGGCTTAGGGAGACCTTTTCTCCCAAGTAATAGTGAGAGGAAATGGCCTCAAGTTGCACCAGAGGAGGTTTAGATTGGATATTAAGAAGAAGTTCTTCACCAAAAGGGTTATCAAGCATTGGAACAGCCCAGGGAAGTGGCTGAGTCACTGTCCCTGAAGGTATTTAAAAGACAGGTAGATGTGGTACTTAGGGATGTGGTTTAGTAGTAGGGCTTGGTATTGACAGGTCAATGGTTGGACTTTATGATCTTGAAGCTCTTTTCCAGCCTAAATGATTCTATGATGCTACTCAGTTAACCACTAGATGATATACACAGAACTCCATTATACTCAAAATTTCCAATATTATTCTTCAGAAAAAATAGTGACTACCAGAAATAGCTGTTTATAGAAAAATGACAGGTTTACATTAGCATTACAGTGGACTAAGTACAAACACTGTGCATGCTTGGCAGCAGAAATTTTTGAGTGCAGAGGGAGAATCATTGCTGCAGTAAACAATTAGAAAGCTATTTTTCTGAATATAGTTATTAGCTATAGGTCTAAATAAGTTTCAGCTGTGCATGAATCAAAAGTCAAAGTTACCTTTTCATTGCAAGCCATCTCACAGGGCAACAGCTGCTTGACTGGAGAACCCATTGCTTTTTCCACAGTACGGATGGCTTTCACTAACTCTGCCAGTTCATTTGGCTCCAGGGATGCTTGGTGGTCACTTCCTTTCCATGTTTTGTTGAGAGTCACGTGGCGTTCCACTACTTTAGCACCCATAGCAACAGCTGCCACGGAAATGGCTATGCCAGTTTCATGCCCCGAATAGCCAATGGGAATATCAGGAAAAGCTGACTGATATGCCTTGAATCATGACAGAGTTGGTCTGAATTACCAAGGTGGCAATTTCAAAGACAAAGGAAATTTAACAGTGATAACTGCAATAAAAACCATGGACGGTGGCACAAAACAAGCAGTTAGCTACACTGAGAATGAATTTCTTTTACATTCAACAAGTCACACTGCATTACCAACCACCATTTTCTAAGAATTTCATTAGGATTGTCAATACTGGCAAGGAAAAGGAGGTAAGCTGTATTCTAACAACTTCTCATATGCTTTTGCTTTTAATTCACTTGTGCTCTTCATGGTCTTCAAACCCTACATCACTGTAAGTTACAGCAAGTGCTTGAACACTCACTAAGTTGGGAAAATATTCTTGCATCATTATCAGGCATATCCAAGTAATATTTTCAGCAAAGGAAACTGTACAAGGGCTTAATCCATTTTCTTCATAACTCTGATATTCACATGAAGCATTTTTAACAAAAGTTTCTGATCTAGCCCCCTATTTAGGATTATGTTCCCAATTCTGTGCACCTTCTTAATGGTGACAGTCTGCGTAATTCTTCTTTGCACTACAAAGCACAGGGTTCACCTGTTAACCGTATGTTTTATTTTCCTTTGTTTAATTGTCATATTCCTCAAAGCGGAGTTCTGCTAAAAGCGTATCCAAAGAGTACTTCTACTTCAACACTTGTATGAATTAAGGAATATGATACATCTTCTAACTTTTCAAAAACAAATTCCAGCAGGCTAAGATCTGGAAATATATCACAATAAAAGCGTGTGGCCCTTCTCTGGTACCCTACCAATGCCACACTCTGTGTTACTCACTGACCGATATAACACGGAGATTGACATCCTCTGGCTGAAGCGGGTATGCACTGGTGCATTGCAGGAAGCAGAAGTTTGGATTGATGGGCTTCACAATCTGATAAACTTGAT